GCGGGGGGCCCCGTTGCACAGGTCGCCGGAGCAGCAGGTGGAGACCATGTTGTAGGTGGCGCCCTGGTAGAGGACAGGCTCGTCCCGGCGGCCGCACGACACGGCGAGCATGCAGCCCTTGTTGGTGACGCGCCCGAGGCCGGGGAGCACGCCCTGGCCCGTGAAGCAGTCCTCGTCGTCGCCGCAGGTCATGGGGACGCCGGGGCAGGTGGCCGACTCGGTGAAGTCACAGAAGATGCACCGCTTGGCCCCTGTCGCGCCCCGGGGCAGAGCCGTCAGCAGGACCAGCAGCCAGCCGAGGCCCATGGCGCCCGGGACAGCCCCTGGGGCGGCCTCGGTCCCCAACGCCCGGGTCCCCCTCGGGAGCTTCTTGGTGACCGCGGCTCTCGAGTCCCAGGGGCGCAGAAGCTTCAGCGGGACAGAGACCGGCGGAGGCGGCTGCCGGCGAGAGTCTCTGCGCGGGAATGGGGTGACCTCACAGAGCCCCGGGGTTCCACTGGCCGCTCGGGGTGAGGTCACGGGGGGGGAGGGGTGTCACAATCTGGGGCGGGTTGGCCCGCTGACCCGAGGGAGCGAGGACATTGCCACCCCACTGAGGTTAGAACACTGGGCCCAACACTTGCCACCCTGGCCACTAAGTCTTCTGCTCTGCTGGGTGCTGGGTGCTGGGTGCTGCGCCTGCCCAGTGCCCACGGGGAGCCCGTTTCTCAGATGGGCAAACCAAGGCTCAGGAGGAGAAAGTGACATGTCCGAGGCCCTAGAGCCAGGATTAGAGCCCAGGTTTACTTAATTCCTAAGAGGGCATTGTTTGAGCACCTGCTGTGTGCAAGACCAGTGCTGGATTCTTTAAATAGCAACCACTGTGATGGCAGTGGCCATCAGAAGGACAGGGCTCACCACAGCTCTCAGGTTTCTAGAATTGACCAAATGCCAGCACCATGCAGGAGGCTCCCCCCATGTTCTCTCCTTGGGATCTCTCTGTGTATCAGCTCCGCTCTCAGAGGAGCAAAGGGGCCCAGGGGGCAGGCACAGCCGGAGCCTGGCACACAGCAGGCGCTTAACAAATGGGGGTCATTATAGGAAGCACCTGAGTCTCAGAGCAGCCCCTGTGGGTGCCAGACAATGAACTCTGTCTCTTCCCAGAGGGGGAAACTGAGGCATCCCTCAGTGGGAACAGGCAGAGCCCAGGATTAAACTCAAGTCTGAGTCCAAATGTCAATTCAACTATCTTACCATGTTGTCCTCATGGGGTAGGTACCTTGGTGGTCCCCATTCTACAGAGGGGGATGTTGAGGCCAGAGAGTAGCAGGATTTTTTTTTTTAATTTTTTATTATTGTTGACAGCATTACAGATGTCCACCAGTTTTCCTTCCTTTACTCCCCTCCTCCCAGCCCCTGCCCCAACTCAGGTCTTCACCACACTATTTCTGTGTCCATGGGTTATGCATATATATATGTAAGTTCTTTGGTTAATGTCCTCCCATCTCCCCCTGCCTTCCCTCTGAGCTCTGTCAGTCTGTTCCATGCGTACATTCCTCTGGACCCACTTTGTTCATCAGATTATTGTGTTCATTGGATTCCACGTATAAGTGAGACCTACATAATAGCCTAATAACCATCCTAAAGGGTGTGAAGTGGCATCTCATTGTGCTTTTGATTTTCACTCTCCTAACAATTAATGATGTGGAATATCTTTTCATGTGCTTATTGGCCATATGTATACTAGAGAAATGTCTGTTCAAGCCTTTTGTCTATTTTCAAATAGTGTTTTTTGGTTTTTCGTGTTTTGTTATTGAGTCATTGGAGTTCTTTATATATTCTAGAAATTAATCTCATATTCAGTATATGTCTTGCAAATATTTCCTACCACTGTGTGGGTTACCCTTCACTCTGTTGATAGTGTCCTTTGTTGTATAAAATTTTTAATTCTGATATCGTCCAATTTATTTTTATTGTTGCTTATGCTTTTGGTGTCATTTTCAAAAATCAATGGGAAATCCAATGGCATGAAGCTTTTCTCCTATTGTTCTAAGAGTTTCTAGAGTTTTGGCTCTTACATTTGTGTTTTTGACCCATTTTGAGTTATTTTTTGTATATGATGTATGGTAAGGATCCACCTTCATTCTTTTGCACATAATATTGTTTTACCGACACAATTTGTTGAACAGGCTTATGCTTATCGTCATGTGTGTTTCCAAGTTCTAGTTTTTAAGGCACTATAGATAAAAAAAATTCATCCCCGCATGGTGTGATTTCTCTTTGTTTGTTTTTTGGAAACTTTTAAATCAACTTTAGAGATAAAGGACTCAATTGCATTGTAGTAAATTTTAGAAATGGAATAAGCTATCCTTCAATGACACTACCAATTATTGTCACAAATGCTACTGTGATCTCTCAACTTTGTCACCACTACCCCAATACTGAAGTAGTAATAGAAGAAATGATATATAGGTTGATAGGTATGCAGGCAGGCAGACTGAGAGAAGCACTTTTATTACTGATCAGCATTGCCTTCACCACACATTAGTCAAGAATCCTAAACTCGGCCCTGGATGGTGTGGCTCNAAGTAAAAGGAATAAATTTAAGAATATTTATAATCCCATCAGTCAGAGATACGCATATCATTAAAAGTTTGGCTATATCCCTGGCCCGGTGGCTCAGTTGGAGCATCATCCCATGCACCGAAAGGTTTCAAGTTCGATTCCCAGTCAGGGCTCAAGCTGGGTTGCAGGTTTGATCCCCAGTTGGGGTACACGTGGGAAGCAACCGATCAATGTTTCTCTCTCTCTCTCTCCCTCCCTCTTAAAAAAAATAAAATAATAAAAACATATTTAAAGAAAAAAAAAGAATCCTAAACCACATAGGTCTTCTGCCTACACAGCCTAAAGAATGGACCTGGGTAAGTAAAAAAAAAAAAAAAAAAAAAA